GGGTTAGGTGCTACACTTCTTTGTCATCTCTTTGTCATCTCTTCTAAACTTCTGAATGTCAGTGTTGATGTCATGAGAGTCTTGTAATACAGTTCTGCCAATGTGTTCCTCCTAGCTCTCTAGGTGCCAAGATTACTAAATAATGACTGTGTCAATAACATGCATCTCTGGCCCATACACAGATCCTAGTGACTGTGACTGAACCTGGTGAGTTCATGGTTGTTGACTTGCAGTCCTGCAGCTTGACTCTCACAGATACTGTATGTGTGATTGTGAATGTGTTTTGCCTGTGTTTTGCCGAACTAGGACTGAAGACAGTAGATAGGCTGGGTCAATAGAGCAGGATACCGTTCACAGACATTATACTGTACTGTGTCTTTATAGATGTAAAGCTCATTGTAAACCAACATGGGTAGCCAGGAAGGGAAATCTGGACTTGGGTCAAGTCACGCACGCACACACATGCACTAATTTAACACACACACACACACTCAGTTTTGTTTAACTAACCTTGTGGGGACACAAGTGCTGAGCGTATAGTGCTTTTTGAGGTCAGTTTGGTTTCGGTTCATTATTTAAAAATAATCACAGTTTTCGATAAAAATAAAAAAATACATTAAATGCACTATGCATTATGTGTGTTGAATGCTGTAACAACACAGAATAAAACAATTAATAAAAGTCCCATGATGGTAGTGACTGCCCTTTAACGCTTATCACTTACACTTATTAACCATCATTTATTCACATTACTTTACTTTAGTAAAATATTTATTTTATTTGATTACTTTATTATTTCATTCCAAGTCATCATCTCATCTCTATAGAGCTGCTGCCTATGCTCTGTGACAAAATCACTATTTTAGTAGTTCTTCAAAGTAAATAAGGCATACTTTTATGACTGCTGAATACCAACTATCAATCACTTATATCATGGATTTTCAGGTAGAGATACCTGGCGAAGCAACTGCTTTGTATCACTCTCGATCGCCCGTTCTCTCTTCTCTCTGTCTCTGACAAGGAGGTCTCCATGTCTTCTCCACACAGACAAGTAGGCGGGTGCGCAATGGATTATGGTCATTGTAGGTGATTACCACATTTTCTGCACTAAACTATGTAGAATATTGGCCCTGTTGGAAATTACAACTCCCTACTACATCGCACAGTTTGGGCTTGATCTGATTGATCTCTACAGAAACTGAGCATCGAGCTCACAGAAAAAAACAGAACGAAATGTAATTCAAATAATTTAACCAACGTCGGTCAGTTGTTTAAAAACCAAGAAATAACCAACATTTCAGTTAATCGCTTAGCACTAGGGGACATACAATTTATAACCATTCAAAATCCTATTTTCCCTAACCCTAAATCTTAACCCTAACCTTAACCCTAACCCTAACCCTAAACCTAAACCTAACTCCTAAACCTTAACCTTAACCCTAACCCTAACCTTAACCTTAACCTTAACCTTAACCCTAAACCTAACTCCTAACCCTAACCTTAACCCTAACCCTAAACCTAACTCCTAACCCTAAAACTAACCCTAACTCCTAACCCTAAACCTCATTCTAACCCTAACACTAATTCTAGCTTAACCCAAACCCCCTAGAAATAGCATTTGACCAGTGGCGACCCGTCATTCATTATTTTGTATATATTTTTGCCTGTTTTGCATGTTATTTTGGCATTAATACGTGTCACATATCAGTTTGCAAACAATGTAAAACAAATAATAATAGAGTTAATAAAGCTGCATACAAACATGGTCTTTTTTTTGCTTTCTTGAGTAAGGCAGCTCCAAAATGCAGGTGTTTCAGCCTAGCTCAGTGCTTTCTGTGGTGCAGGGGCAGCCAGCAGGAAAATATGGATCGTAGGGGTTTGTAATGTTCTCTAGTTGCACCGTGATTGGATCAGTGTTCTGTCACTCATAGGGACACTATGTCACCGCAAAATCTATGGAGAGAGCTAAAAAATTCAAGCCCCTTGGGCCATAGAGTTACATTAGAAGTGCCCATCCAAGAAGGCTCAAGGTCATTGGCCACAGATAAAATTACGTCAAATCACGTTATATCTACCGTAGCTTTGATTGGACTGATCATGTCAACATCATACTTTCAAAATCTTAGCTAGCAAGCTAGACAAGCAGTCATCATCATGAATCATGTCGACAATCTACTGGCAAATATTTTTCAATCCTTGTCATATGAAGAGAAATTATAGATAAAACGTATCGGTGCTCATCAGCCATTGGACATAAACATTACACAATAAGTTGGAAATCGCAAATTCAACAATTGAGTGGTTTGGAAGGAGTCAGTGGCTAACTGCAAGTGTTGCAAAGCAATCACTAGCCTGCTATTCAGTGGAGAGGGTGTGTGGTCCATGTCTGAGTTTAAGGGTCTCTTTTCCAAGCTTAAGAGGATAAACATTCAACACCATGGGCCAAGAAAATGTTAATACATGGCCCATGCTGTCAATCCAGCATGACTGTCCTGCCGCA